GGGCTGCCCGGCAAACCGTGAAGCCGGTAGCGCTTGGGCAGCCCTTTTCGCGTGGCTGGGAGGGAGGAGCGGGGGTTAGGGCGGGGCCTTTGGGGAAGGGGCGGAGCCCTGTGGAGTGTCCTCTCTTTTTATTTTTTAAATATGGTAACCCTAGCCTTGGCTTGTATCAGCACTACCTGTTACAAAGCCACAAGTGGAGGGTTCAAAAAGAACAGGCCTTTAGGAAGAACTAGAAGCCACTCGCTGGCAGAAGAAAATGAGATCTCAGCCTGCCCCTTCCCCTATGAAGGCAGGAGTTGGGAAAAAGATATTGTATCATACAGTGTTCCAGTTTGTTATGTGTGGTGATGTGATGGGTTAGTGGTGAGTTGTGATGCATTGCTAAAATTGTACGGGGAGGAGCAGTGTTGCAGTCAGTGATAAGGTAGCTCTAGTTTTTCATGCCTGACTCTTGTTTTCAGCCATTAAAATGCAAGAACTCTGCCACTAGTTGAGCCTGAGCAGTGACTTAGCACAAGTTGTGCCAGCTCAATAAGTGTGGGACAGGTGTGACAGTTGAAAACATAAGTATGTTAAAGATAGGTGGTATATAGCCTAAATGTCAAAGTCTGCCCGTCTCACTTAACTGGGGGAACAGGCTGTATTTGCAACCCCATCATCTTGTATGGTTGTTAGGAAGGTCATGGGTTTTTATTGTAACATTCTTCTTAAAATAATTACAACTTAAATTGATTTAGCTTTATCATATGAATTGTAGATAGATAAAAGCTGACATACTGACAGCTTCAGTGAAAATCTTTAGTTTCCCTTAGGCAGCAAATATTTTTAGTGAAAATGTTTCAATTGTCTTCATGTAAAGGATATTCAAGGAGCTGTAGAGTACTTAGCACCACCGTTAAACACCGTGTGCAAGTCAGAGTCAGCTGTTTGCCAGAAACTCTAGCACTATTACATGAAGAGTAAAAAAGGGGTCTAGCTCTCACCCTTTCCTCACTTCAATTATATAAAGCTGGAGACTTTCCCAGTGTTCTTTAAACACCACAGCTGAACCATTTTAAAAACAGGTAAATATATCAAATTCTACCCATAGCCACCTTTTATTTAATAATAATACTAATAAAAAAAAACTCCACCATGAATCCGAGTACAAGTGTGTGGAGTGCAAAGCTCATGTGTTCAGGCATTGAAGTATACACAAACAGACTAATACGTGCTTCTGTGATATTCCATGTACAACCTCTACTACTCTCCCCGAGCACTATAAATTTTCACTGTTTACTGATCTCCCTTAATCTGTCCTAGCAGCAAAAGAAAAAAATGAGGGTAACAAGCAAGGACAGCGAAAACTTCCTAAAAATCTGACTTTGAACACACTAGGTCAGAGACAATGAACCAGGCAGAACAACCAATAAGCTTAGTGCTAGGCTCTCTCTTTTCCCATGTACTATGGAGCACATTAGACCCACTGAAACAAAGTGGGTATTACTGTCAATGTTAATTGATTATATAATAATCTAATAACTCCAATTTAAGAGGTGCAGTGGTTATGGGAAAGGCAATGGAAGAAGGAGCTGAATGAGTGCTTTGGAAGACAACATGGGGATGTTTGCAGGAGAAAGCAGGTGCCATCAAGGGTCCTTTTGCTCCTCCAGAGCAGGGGATAGAAGTCCCAGAAAGCAGCAATCTTTTTCTCCCACAGTGACAGTACTTCAACCCTTTCTGCTATCTACCCTTGCTCCTATACAGATCACCCACATGCAGCACTTATACAACAGGCTGAGAAGATGGCCTTTTCAGATTTATCTGGTGCCAGATATTTGTGACATAGTCACAAAAAGTTAAGTTAGGCAGCCATTTGCCTGGCAGCATAGCTGCATTTACTGGCCCCAGATCTTAGAGGCTTTACCCTAACCCACATAAAATTGGGTATGCCAAGAAGTATCTCCTGACTATTTTTAAATAAAATAGCTAGCATTGTTTTTCTGCATTAACTGAATGGATGGCTATAGAGCCAGACAGATTAGCTCACTGGGCAGATAGATCCTTAAGTCACAATCTAGTTAGCAAAGATCAGAGAAAAACCATTCAAGCAGAACCAAAACTCCAATCACCCCAAAACATTAAGTCTGAATTAAGAGTTCAATCAACTGGACTGTCATTGGCCCCACATTCCTCTGAAATAATGTTTAGCTTAAGTCTCAGAATATAAAGTGACAATCAAGAAGATGGTTATTCTGTAATTAAAATAGTAAAATTACAGTTAAAATACAGAAAATGGGACATGAAAGTGGACTGAACATAAAGAAGTGTTTCTGAATTCAGCTGCTTATTGGAATATAATGATCAAGTAGAAGTTTCAGTTTTTCTAGCAGCACACTAGTGACAGCAACTCTATTTAGAAATTATACTTCTGTTAGTTAAATTATATGGAGATATACCTATCTCATAGAACTGGAAGGGACCTCGAAAGGTCATTGAATGTGTGGATCTGTGTGTGATTGAGTTAAGTCACAAGAATTTCTGTTTGTCCTCCCCTCAGCCAAGAAGTTTGTTAATGTAGTAGCACATTAAAGTTTCATCTGCAAGTCCTAGGTGTTTTGCAGGGTATGCTGTGTAATGGTGTATTATGAAACTGAACATGAGGGAATCTTTAAATGCTGAATATTCTGGAGCTGTAGTAATGTTACAATATTTAAATGATGAATACATGAAAAATAGCCTCATCTATTCCATAAACACTTCCAAAACCTCAAAAGGTCTGACTCCCAGATAAGTCTGTTTAAAACAAACAAAA